ATGGGGTACCATTAAGCCATAAAAAAGAATAAAAGCCAATCCTTTGCAACAAAATGGATGGAACTAGCGATCACTATGTTAAGTGAAATAAGCCAGGCACAGAAAGACAAACCTTGCATGTTCTCACTTATTTGTAACATTTTGCTGAGAGAAATAAAACTCAAATAAATTCAACAGCTTACTGTATTCCTAGATGGGACAACTGAACATTGTAAATTGTACATTAGTCCCAAATTAAGTTAAAGGTTGATGTACTGGTTTCCTGTAGCTGCTATGTCACATTACCACAAATTTGGTAGCTTAAAACAACACACATTTTATCCTCTGACAGTTCTAGAGGCCAGAAGTCTGAAACTGGTTTCACTGAGCTAACGTCAAGGTGTTAGTAGGGCTGATTCCTTTTGGAGGCTCTGAGGGAAGAATCTGTTCTTTGCCTTTCTCTTATGGCTTCAATTTCTAGTATTCCTTGGCTATAGTCCCTTCCTCCATCTTCAAATACATCACTCCAATCTCTGCCTCCATCACCAAATCATCTCTTCTGTATCAAATTTCCCTCTGCTTCCCACTTATCAGGAGACTGTCGCTACATTTAGGTCCCACCAGGATAATCCAGGATAATCTCCCCATCTCAAGATCCTTAAGGATCTGCAAAGTCCCTTCTGTCATGAGGTAACATTCACAGCTTCCAGGGATTAGGACCTGAATACCTTTGATAGCCATTATTCAGCTAACCACAATCTGCCCTCTGCCCTATTTCCTAAAATTCACATCTATCCCGCATGCAAAATATATTCACCCATCTTCAAATCCCCCAAATTCTAGACCTGTTACAATATCAACTCATGTCTAAATTCACATCAAATGTCATCATTTCAGAAGTCTCAAATCTTATAATCTAAATCATCTAAACAAGGGATGAGTGAGACTGGGTATGACCCCTCCTAAGGCAAAATTCACTCCATCTATGGATCTGTGCAACTAGAAAACAAGTTATCTTCTGAAATACAATGGTGGTACAGACATAGAATAACCGTTATAGACATTGTCATTCAAAAAGGGAGACAAGAAGAAGAGAAGAATCACTGCTCCCAAGGAATTCTGATATCCAGCAGGGCAAATTCTATTAGATTTCAAGGCCTGGGAATAATTCTCTGTGGCTCAAGACTCTGCCCTCTGGTCCTGAGGCTTTACCTCTGGGCCTGAGGTTCTTCCTGAGTCATCCTTCCTTGTTCATGAAAGATATTATGTGTTTGCAGCTGAATAGTTTTATCAGTCTATTTCCTGCCTATAGAATTTTGGGAGTCCAGTGTCCTCTTTTTCATTTTGTCCTCTGTCTGCCTGTTTATCCAGGCTGGCGTTTCTGCTGATATACCATTCTCAAACACCTTCTGAGTCTCCCTGCATGCCACAGAGATTCACTCCATTAGACAACAGGCTCCTTCACAGATCTTTTGGGAATAATCTCATTTCTCCTACTGACTTCTGCTGAGATGGTTAAGGGGATCCATTTATCACATACCTAATCTCTTTAGCCACCTTCTTGGCTTTCTCTCCAGAGCATACTTTCTTGACAGTCAATCTCTTCATTTTAGCAGCTTTTATAACCTGGATAGGCTGAGAATTTCCCAAGTCATCAAAACCTGTTCCCCTTTTGCTTAAAAAATTCTTCCTTCAACTTACCTCTCTCCTCTCACAGTCTACTATAAGCAGTAAGAAGAAACTGGGTCAGACCTTCAACATTGCTTGGAAATCTCTTCAGCTAAATATTCAAGTTCATCCTTGAAAGTTCTGCTTTCCACATAATGACAGGACACAATTCAGCTAAGTTTCTGTCACTATGTAGCAAGACCGCCTTACCTTCAGTTTCCAATAACCTGTTCCTCCTTTCCTTCTGCATCTTCACTAGCAGCACTGTTTATCACTTATATTTCCACCACTATTCTGTTAATGATAATTTACATATTCTTTAACACAATACAGGTGTTCTCAACTGTGCTCTTAATTTCTGAGTCCTCAACAGAGGCACCTTTAATGTCCACATTTCTGCCAACAGACTATGCAAGGCAATCTAAACTTTTTTCTATCATGCAGCTCAAAATTCTTCCAGCCATTTATCCACTATCAAATTCCAAAGCCACTTCTACATTGTTAGGTATTTGTTATAGCAGCAACCCATTTCAAGGTACCAAAATCTGTACTAGTTTCCTATATCTAGTAAAATAAAAAATAAAAAATACCAAGCAACAATTTATTCTTTTACAGTTCTGGAGGCCAGAAGTCCTAAGTCAGCTTCACTAAAGTCAAGGTGTTGCCAAGGCTGATTCCTTCTGGAGGTTATGAGAAGAAGATCTGTTCCTTGCCTTTTCAGCTTCTGGTCACTACCTATATTCCTTGGCTTGTGGCCCCCGCTTCTATCTTCAAAGCACATCATCCCAATCTCTGCTTACATCATCACATCACTTTCTTCTCCTCTCTATCAAATATCCCTCTACTTCCCTTTTACAAGGGGCAGTTATGATTACAGTTAGGGCCTACCTGGATAATTCTCCATCTCAAGATCCTTAACTTAATCATATCTGTAAGTCCTTTTTTGAGATATAATATTCAAAGGTTCTACAGATTCTGACCTGAATATCTTTAGGATTATTATCCAGCCTACCACAGTTGGTACATACAATCTCATAAAATTCCAAACAATAATATTTGAGAGACTTGATGAAATCACTCTAAAGTTCAATCGTGTTATCTCTAACACCTAACAATCTCTTTAAGCCTCATTTGCTATCCAAAAGTAGACATAAAAATACCTTCCACAGTTGAATTCAGACCCATATCTGGAATAGTATTAAAAATTATGGACATAACTGGTCATCTTGCTTCTAACTCCTCACAGCTTTAAATATATCATTCAACTTGCAAGCAGAAATAATTCCCTAAGCTTGAATCCAAGGTTTAGGTTTTGGCTCCACTAGTTAAGTAGACTAGAGTCAGTGGTGGTTCCAGAATTTCAATAAAAGATAGAGTTTAGAAGAGAAATTAGTTGGAAAATGGGACTAAGAAACTTGTCATGAACTGCATTTACATAATAAGCACACTGTTTTTCTGAGAGCACACATTTATTTTGGGCAACTTAGTAGAGCAAGAAGCATATCACAAGCACTCCCTTAATGTTACCGTACCTTAACCACACTAACCTTAGTTTCCTCATCTATACAACTAAAGTATTTTAGTACAATCCTCATGGTTGAGGATTATAGTACATGGTATACACCACATACTATAGTACATAGTATAATGCATAATGTAATATAACACAGCATATAGTATATGGAGTATATTGCAAAATATAGTATTATGCATGTAAATGTCTTGGCACAGTGCCTAGAACACAGTAAAGCATTCCATAAATTTCTTATTATGTCATTCCTCTTCTCAAAACTCTATAACTGACTTCCTATTGCCTGCTGAATAAAATACAGGACCCTCCAAAATCTCTCTAGCCACAAACTAACTTTCCAGCTTCATCCCTTCAACATTCATTCAGAGATCCTATCCACTATTCACTTCCCGTTCCTTCTGCCCCCAGATATCAACATGGTTCCCTCCTTCCACCAGCCCCTTCTGGTCCCTGCTCAAGCATCACGTTATCAAAGAGCCCTCTCGTAATTTCCCTCTACAAAATTACACACACACTCACTCACTTGCTAGCCACTTCCTAAACACCTTCCCACTCTATTTTTCTCTTTAGCACTCCACAGATATAGACATACAGATTTAGATAGATACAATTATTTTCTATATCCCCCTACTAGAAAGTAGGCTCCATGAAGGTAACGATTCTGTTTTGGGCTACGTTGTGTATGTATTCTCAGATCCTAGAACAGCGTTTAGAACAGCCAGCACTCAACAAATATTTGTTATATGAATGCTTACACAAAATGTCTTTGCTTATTATGTTTCCCCAATCTTAGATGCCCTCTCTACACTGACACCTACCAAAATTCTACTCATTCTTCAAAGCCCACTCACATATATCTTTTTCTGTGAAATTTCCTAATTCCCCCTAGTGGAACTCATTGCCCTCTCAGCAAGTACCTGTTTATAATTTTATTTAGTTCTCATTTTGTTGAATGAGAACTATTTATTTTTTATAATAAAATAAGAATCATTTTAATTATTATCTTGGTTTTTGCTTTTATTTCTAGATTGTACACTCTTTAAAGGCAAGGTCTATGTCCCATCTTTTTATCATATATCATGACACCTTCCTCACCCCTTACCTACTACCTGATAGCACATCACCACCACAGGAATATATTATAAGAGACAGGCCCTGTAATCCCAGCACTTTGGGAGGCCAAGGCAGGTGGATCACGAGGTCAAGAGAACGAGACCATCCTGGTCAACAAGGTGAAACCCTGTCTCTACTCAAAATACAAAAAATTAGCTGGGCATGGTGGCGCGTGCCTGTAATCCCAGCTACTCAGGAGGCTGAGGCAGGAGAATTGCCTGAACCCAGGAGGCGGAGGTTGCAGTAAGCTGAGATCGCGCCATTGCACTCCAGCCTGGGTAACAAGAGTGAAACTCTGTCTCAAAAGAAAAAGAGACAGGCACTCAATATTTGTTGAACTATTTGAAGGGAAGGACATTCCCAAACAAAAAAATAGAAGCAGATGCTAGGTTATGTGAAGTGGTATACTGTTCTTTAAGTAAATGTAAAACTGAAGTCCTTCAGAAGAAGGGTTAGAGGTGATATAAGTAAGTTGTTTCCATGAGATTCTATTAATGTGACTATAGTTGAATTAATTAGCTAGCAAAATATTAGTAAAGTCTTCATTTTTAGGAAAATTGAAGAAGCTCAAATCATTCTGGCAAAACAACAACAACAGAAAAGTATCTTTAAGAAACTCAATGTGATTGGTCAGGTAATTCCTTTTTGATGTCACTGAGCTTACTGCTGAGTCAGTATGACTGATGATGTCACAATGATCATCAGTGTATATTTGCTGGGCATATTTTGCTGACTGGCAAGGTTATATGAAGTACTTTCTATTGAATTACCATATTAACTAATTATTCCTGGCATCTTCTGCTGTCTCTGTTTTGGCTATTTTAAAATAGCTAAATTTTAGCTAGGTTTTTTTTTTCCAATTGAGAAAAAAAATGTCTAATCAAGGACTATTGCTGATTTTTTCTCTGTTGTTTATCTGCTTCATCAGGGACACTTTCGGCATTTGTGATGGAACTATCTGGGCAAGGGTTGGATGGGAGATTCTTCCAGAAGAAGTACATTATTGGAAAGTTAAGCGTCCTCCATCTTACTATCTGCCATATCCTCTGGATAAACTATGCTGCAACTTGGCTAACATGGATATATTTTGGAGTTCTTTATATCTCATTGATATTTTATTACAAGCTCTCCTTTTCATCTTATCTGTTCTGTCTGTGCATTACCTGTGGATGAAATGGAAGAAACACCAAATAAAGGTGAATTAATGATATAAGTAGTAATAGTCACAAAATCTCTAAGGGTTTAGAACATAAGATAATTAGTTACTGCCAGGCGCGGTGGCTCAAGCCTGTAATCCCAGCACTTTGGGAGGCCTAGGCGGGTGGATCACGAGGTCAAGAGATCGAGACCATCCTGGTCAACATGGTGAAACCCCGTCTCTACTAAAAATACAAAAAATTAGCTGGGCATGGTGGCGCTTGCCTGTAATCCCAGCTACTTGGGGTGCTCAGGCAGGAGAATTGCCTGAACCCAGGAGGCGGAGGTTGCGGTGTGCCGAGATCGCGCCATTGCACTCCAGCCTGGGTAACAAGAGCGAAACTCCATCTCAAAAAAAAAAGAAAAAAGATAATTAGTTACTGTGTTTTATTCCTCATTATAACCTTCCCCTAACTTCCCATTCATCCCCAGCATCTAGTACAATGTCTTGCTCATACTAGGTGTTCAAAAAATGTGTATTGAATTAGAAGGTCCTTAAAATCATCTAGTTCCCTCTACTTAAAGTTACAAAACACACCAAAAAAAGTAGTGTACTACCATGAGGAGAATGTATGGGAAATGAAGTTATCTGTCTGGGTCCCGAGGTAAGTCATTTGCTCTTTCTCAGCTGCCTCATCCATAAAAGGATCTGGAACAAGGGGTCTCTTAGAACCCTTCCAGATGTACCTAAGGAATCGAAGTACAAAGGTTGGCATGTAATTTTTATATGGGTTGTAATCTAATTTCTAATATTAGAACAACTCTCTGGGAAATAGAACTTTTTAAACTATTATATAATTTCCCACTTTGCCAATACATGAAACCATAGTTTGAGAGGCAATCTTAAAAGCTCATTGATAAAAAAAACAAACAAACCTCACTGACCTTCAGAACAATTAGATATTTATAAACATTTTCTTATTTTTAAAATGACTGTGACTTTATGGTATTATACCTTTGGGTACTTTAGTAAAGGAATATATTTTGCTAATCAAATAATTTCTCCCAGCAAAGTACCCTAACCATAGAACACACTAATTGTTTGCTGATGGTGATAATGATCATATATGTGGCATATAGATAACATTTCTTCTGCACTTTTACCTTTCTTCTATAGTGACCATCCTTTTGCATAAATAATTGATGTTTGCTGTTTTCATAAAGTTTAAGTTTATACATTTAGAACACAAATTTAATTTGAACCATATTATTGAACTATACTATTTTATGTAGATAAAACCTATATTGTTTTTCTCCTTTTAGCTGAAAAACCGATCATCCTCAGAAAAATCTGGTAATGATCTAGAAAGTACATCCATCCAAGACATTGACCAAATACTCTACAGACTAGATACCACAACATCAATGATATTCAAGATCTTGGAGCACAGGTCTTACCATCCTTCCTCTAATAAAATTAAGCACTGGGAATTAAAGAAAAAGAAGAAGACTAAAGAAGAAGGAGCCAAAAGATACTAAATATATGCATATGCAAATACAGCTTAGTCAAACAGACTACAAACTCATTTAATTTCACAGCAATCCCTAAAAAGTAGGAACTATATTGTTGGCCCCTTTTACAGAGAAAGAAACTGAGGCATAGAAAATTTAAGCGACTTATCATAATTGAAGCACCAAGGTCACATAGATTTCAAGTAGGGGCACCAGTATTTAAACTCAATCTCAAGAGGACATGTACTCAACCCTTTTGTTATTGTACTTATGTTATAGCCCACCTGTGGAAACTGATTCACTGCTCAATAAAGCAATCTTGTCACCGTTCTCCAACATGCCACTTTCACTCACAGCTCTAAGATTTTGCTCATGCCCTTTCCCCTTCTATTGCCTATTCAAATCCCATCCATTCTTCAAGGCCGGGCTCAAGCCCGACATGCTCTGACTTCCTATTCTTTCACTACCCTGTAGCACAGAATACCTGTTTTGCCAGTTTTAACCTTTCATCACAGTCTTTCTGATATTTTGATATAATTGTTGAATGTGTCCATAACTTATCATCTCCCACCTAACAAGTATCCAGAGGTCAGGAAAAACCAATTATATCTACAGCAATGCTATGCTCACAATGGGAATTCAATAAATGCTTGTACAAAAGTACATCTTCCTGAAATCTCTTTAAGCTATATTTTACAGGGCTGTGGGAAGTATATGTGTAAAATATTAGCAAAAGTCAAAATAGTACTGTTTTTTGAACTTTTTATTGAAGTATAACTTAAAAACAGAAAAGTGCAAAAATTATGTGTACAGCTCAATGAATTTTCACAGACACATACCCATGTACCAGCAACCAGGTTAAGAAAAAGAACATTACATCCCAGAAGTTTCCCAATGCCTAAGGGTAGCTGTTATTCTATTAACACTATAAATCAATTTAGTGTAAAGAAATCTTTCTAAAATTATTGTTACAACTTTTTTATATTAGAGAAATCAAATATATTACTCAAATTATGCCATTTTTTAAACATTTAAGGAACAAGCCACTTTGCCTGAGTCTCTCAGAAAATGGCTTTGAACATATATATTGAACATTCAATAATCTTCTCTTATAGAAATTATTTTCTCATAGAAAATAACTGGTGAGAAATTTCTTATAGAAATTATTGGTGAGAAAATTATTGGTGAGACAGAAGTTGGCAAATCAACAAGCTTCCAATATGTACAGTTCCTAATAAATACAATGTTTAGGGCCAACAGCAAAATAAAGAAAAAGGGAAATTTTTCATTTATTATTGCTAACTGTGACTGTGGTTGTATCTACAAATAAAACACTGTGAACAAAGGTGGCATAGCCTATACCTCATAGGAGAAAAACGCATCACATCAGTCTGTTTGCTAACCCCTTGTGAGCTTCCTTACCTGCCCAGTCCAGGAATTCAACACACTCAGTCTGGGAATATTTAGCAGCAACATCTCGAGCCCTTTCTTCCCGGAAGTTCAAAGCTTCTATATCAACATCCAGTTCTACTAGTGCTTTCAAAGTTTCCAAACGACCCCAGGCTGCAGCACAGTGTAAGAGTGTGTACCCTAACAAATGGAATGAAGATGGTGAGATCAAACAGATTACATTGTTTCAGGCTAATTTATATAGCGGAAGATCCTAATGGCCAGATGCAGTGGCTCACACCTATAATCCCAGCACTTTGGGAGGCCAAGGTGGCAGGATCACCTGGGGTCAGGAGTTTGAGACCAGCCTGGCCAACATGACAAAACCCCCTCTCTACTAAAAAATACAAAAATTAGCCAGGCGTGGTGGTGCACACCTATAATTCCAGCTACTTGGGAGGGTGAACCCAGGAGGTGGAGGTTGTGGTGAGCCAACATTGTTCCACTGGCTGACAAAACTAGACTGCCTCAAAAACAACAAAACAACTATATATATATATATTACATATATATATATGCATTTTACATATATATATATCAAATCAAATGTTTTTCAACTGTCATTTTCACTGAATGCAATCTAGGTATTATCAACCTTTCCTTTCCGTCTATTCTCTTTCTTTCTTTCTTTCCTTTTTTTTTTTTTTTTTTTTCCAGAAACAGGGTCTTATTATGTTACCCAGGCTGGTGTTGAACTTCTGACCTCAAGCAATCCTCCTACCTTGGCTTCCCAAAGTGCTGAAATTATAGGTATAAGCCTTTGCACCTGGCCTCCAGCAGCCTATTTCTTTATTTTCAATGTCATTAATTTATTCCATTATTTTTCTTTTACTTGCTTTTTTTTTTTTGGTTTTTGGAGACAGAGTTCTCACTCTGTTGGCCAGGCTGGAGTACCATGTGGCACAATCACAGCTCACTGCAACCTCAGTCTCCTGGGTTCCAGGAATTCTCCTGCCTCAGCCTCCCAAGTAGCTGGGATTATAGGCATGTGCCACCATGCCTGGCTAATTTTTGTATTTTGAGTAGACAGGGTTTCACCATGTTGGCCAGGTTGACCTCAAACTCCTGACTGCGGGTAATCCGCCTACCTCAGCCTCGCAAAGCGCTTGGATTACAGGTGTGAGCCACTGCCCCTGGTCTTTTCTTTTACTTTATTTGGTTACTCAGTTGTTCTTTTTCTAACTTGTTGAGTCAAATGCTTTGCTTACTAATTTTTTATGTTTCTTATATTCTAACATATGCATTATACTAGAATTTTAATTTTAGTTGTATCCCATAGGTTTGGACATATAGTGATCCTGTTGTCACTTAAACATTTCATAATTTTCATTATATCTTCTGTGACCAATAGACAATTTAAAGTGTGTTCTTAGCCAGGCATGGTGGCTCATGCCTCTAATCCCAACACTTTGGGAGGCCACTCCCAGTGGGAGGTCAGGAGTTCGAGACCATCCTGGCCAACATACCAAAACCCCATCTCTACCAAAATATACAAAAATTAGCCAGGCGTGGGGACCCACACCATAGTCCCAGCTACTAGGGAGACTAAGGTGTAAGAATCGCTTGAACCTGGGAGGTGGAGGTTGCAGTGAGCCGATATCATGCCACTGCACTCCAGACTGGGCAACAGAGTGAGACCCTGTCTCAAAAAATAAAAATTAAAAAAAATTAAATAAAGTGCGTTCTTGCTTTCAGTTTTGTTATCTTTTTGTTACAATTTTCTAATTTTATTTTGTTGTCACTGATCAAAGACTATATCTTCGATACTTGTTAGGACTTCCTTTAGGACTCAACATATACCAATATTTTTTAAATGTTCCATATGAGCATGAATAGAATGTATATCCTGTCTTTGCTGAAGATCATGCTGATGATCATTTTTTTAAATTTTCTAACATGACCACGTATTATATTTGCAATCTGAAAAAAAAAATTACTGAATTTAAAATGCTAATTAGATGATTGCTAAAAATTAATATATCTTCAATGGAAAGAGATAACAGCAAATTATTACACATTTACTATATATCAATTTACTACATACCAAGCACTAAAATATTTATTTTATCCTATTTAATTCTCATTATACCCTATAAGGAAAATACAGTTATTATCCCCATTTTGCAGATGGAAAAACAGATACACAAAAAGATCAGGTAACTTACCAAATCACACAACTAATAAACAGTGAAGTCTATTTTCTATAATATTATACTATGTAATATCAACACTGATACATTTACATGTATACACATACATACACCCATATAGATGTATATATATATACATATATGTAAAGTATAAAACAAGAACATCAAATATATCTAACCTTAAAGATATTACATGGCATCTTTAGGTAATCATAAGTAATAATGATGAGAGAAAAAAGACAAAATACCTCTGGTGGTTTTTTCATTCAGATTCACACCGTATTTCGCCAAAGCTCTAATCACGTCACTTTGCCCAGCCATGCAAGCTGCATACAACAAATTTCTCCCAACAATGTCTTCTTCTAAGAGAAGCTGCATGGCCTGTTCATGATGAGGATTCTCTGGATCCTCAAAAATCTTCTGCAAACCCACTACATCCCCTGTGAGAGCAGGCTGTAAAAGGGGGTTCCTGGGGCCTCTTTCCTCTGGTTCTTGGACTTCCTCTTCATCTTCTTGCTGTTGTTGTGAGAAAAATTCTGAGCTCTCTGACTCGCGAGGTCCTTCTGACTCCATTAACTCCAAAAATACCTATGACCAAAAAAAAAAAAGTTATAAAAACCTACTCAAATACATCAGTGTTTGTTTATTTATTTGCTCAGCCAACTGACAATATAGATGGTATAAAAATACTTAACGAGTTGAAAATAACTATAAAATAAGATACTTCAGCAATTCCATCAATAAAGTTTACTGTGTACCTATTATGAGTAGGTACACATAACACAGCCTAAGTATATACTAAAATGCTAAATGTGTGAAATAAATAGTAAATTCAATAGAAACAAGAGAAGAAAGAGATCAATGTGATCTAAATTTATTGGGAAAAGATTGAAAAAGAATGTCTAAGAGACCCACCTACCTAAATAAGAGTCCCTGTATGAGAGAAGTGAGAAATATAATTGGGTTATTGGAGCCAGATTATGAAGACTTTAAAAATTAGGCACCAACGTTTAAACAGAATTCATGCACTCAGTAGCATATACTGAAAGCACTCTGTAAACTACAAAAACCAGAATCAAATTTATTTCCTACTCTCAGCAAGTTACTATTTCAAGAAAAAAATATGACATGCACGAAAGAAGTGTAATAAGAGGTGACAAGTAGTAAATACCATAACAAAAGAAATGCCATGGGAGTTCAGAAGGGGGAAGATTAATTCCAGATAAAATTATTCAAGGATGTCTGGTTTTTTTTTTTTTGCACATCAGACAGGTAATGTGCCCATGTTGTAACAAGGTTTAAAGGAGGTACATCTCACACATGAGCATGAAAACCCAATAATCACACCTATGAACTACAAAAGGATCTAACTAAGGATGTCTTGGTAGTACCTCAGTCTGTCAAAACACAATATTAAACTGGGAAAGATGCAGAGAAGAGTACCATAGTCCCTTCATACATATAAGAATACGTGTGGCATCACTGTTCACAACAGCAAAAAACCCAGAAGGGAAAACCGAAGTCCAAGAAGAGAAGCATAACT